ATATCATATAGCTAAAATTCAGGGAAGGGATATTTATAAAAGGAATATTTCACACTAGGTACTATGAACACAAATAAAATTTCATGGTGGGGAGGTTATATCACAAAATGAGGAACTAGATGCTATCATTTAGTTTAATCTACTTAATGTCAAACAACCTTCCAAATGTTTGTGTTTAGACAAACACTCCCATCCTTACCCAAAGAGGCCTCACTTCAAAGAGAACTGTGATAAAAGGCCAAGATATTGGACTATAGAAGATCCTAAGACTATGTGATGTTTTATTTGCCATCCACAAACAAGGCTTTTTAAGTCATCTATCCCAACATCCTAGGAATATAATGGAATAGAAGGCAAAACAATTATAAGATTAAGACTGCAAATTTCCTGCTTTCAGGCAACTCATGCATTGAAATAAGGAACTCTTACATTTAAGGATGAGCTCACAGATTGGCTCTGCATAAGTATGGACTGTACAAAAACACCTTATCCTTCTTTAGTGGTATATTATTTGTGTTTTAATAAATAAAACTTGCCTGAAGATCAATACAAAGCACTCACACTAGCCAGCCATACAGGCTTACGCACACCTTTAATCCCTGCAGCTACACTAGTTATCCATAGAGGCTGGGTGGTAGTGGTGAGTGCTTTTAATCCCAGCACTAGAGAGGAACTCGTTCTTTTTCAGTCTGAAGATTTCAAAGAGGTAAGAGCACTCTAGTGTCTTGGCTACTTTGCTTTTCTGATCTGCAGGTTGAACTCCAATAGCTGTCTCTAAGGTTTTATTATTTGTAATAAATAAACTTATCTCCCACAAATAAATTCAAAGAAAAAAGTTAATTATTTCTCTTGTGTAACAGTTGATGACTACACAAACCTCCAAGCTATAGTCCAAATCCAAGGGTCATAAAAATGATCATAATTAAACCAAATGGGCCACACACAAAAATATAAAAAAATAACATAAACCTTGTAAAGGGACAATTAAGGAAGAGATGAATTGACAAGTGTTGGTAGGAGGGAGTGTACCTGGGATATATTGAATATGGTGGGAAACTGTAAAAGACTGAACTTGACAAACATTAACCAAAATGAAGGCCCTTCCTGACAGAAAATCAGTAAGCTGCCTAGAGACCTCTTCCCTCGCTCGCTTGCTCTGTCTTTCTCTTTCTCTCTCTCTCTGGCTCACTCTCTCAGTCCCACTCTCTCTTGTTTCTCTCTCTCTTGTTTGTCTCTCTCTCTTGTTTGTCTCTCTCTCTTGTTTGTCTCTCTCTTGTTTGTCTCTCTCTTGTTTCTCTCTCTCTTGTTTCTCTCTCTCTTGTTTCTCTCTCTCTTGTTTCTCTCTCTCTTGTTTCTCTCTCTCTCTCTCTCTCTCTCTCTCTCTCTCTCTCTCTCTCTCTCTCTCTCTCTCTCTCTCTCCTCTTTCCCCAGACCCAATCCCCCCATCTCATCTCCAGCTCTGCAGTAGAACAGCTATGGCAGCCTTTTGTGGCCCCTGTGTTCCCATATCCTGCAGATCCCACAGATTTTCCCCATTCTACCTTTCCTCACCTGACTTGTTGATTTGTCCCAGACACCAACTCTAGCAGGCACGCCCTGCTAATCCAAGAGCCTCTCCTCCCAGGACCACGAGTAGGCTGAAGGCAGATACTTTTCAAGAGCAGTAAGTTCTCTTAACCATTCAGCTGTCTCTTCCAAACAGTGTTAAATAGTTTTTATGTTGACTTGAAGCAAGTTATAATCATCTGGGAAAAAGAAAGCTTAGTCAAGAAAATGTCTCCATAACATGGGCTGGTAGGTGCCGGGCAGTGGTGGCACCCATCTTTAATCCCAGTACTCAGGAGGCAGAAGCAGATGGATCTCTATGACTCTGAGGCCAGCCTGATCTACAGAGCAAGTTCCAGGACAGCCAGGGCTACACAGAGAAACCCTGTCATGAAAACCCGGGAGGGAGGGAGGGAGGGAGGGAGGGAGGGAGGGAGGGAGGGAGGGGGGAGGGAGGGAGGGAGGGAGAGAGAGAGAGAGAGAGAGAGAGAGAGAGAGAGAGAGAGAAAGCGATCTTCCTGGTGATTGCGGTTTCTCCCTCTGAGAACCCATCATTTTGATGGAATGTGGGGCTGCAGGACAGAGAGGAGAGCCTGGGGTGTGGGGGAAGCAAAGCAGCTGGCCAAGATGTTGACTCACAGGCTTTCATTAACACAAAACCACGGTAGTCCTGGGGATGCGTGAAATGAGATGCCATCCCCAGATTCCCCAATCAGAGCTGAGAGATACATTCTGAAATAAAAGGAGATTCCTAGCTTTACAGATCATAGTTCCTTGTCCAGCTGCATTTAGGAATTCAGCAGGGGGCGCTAAGAGGAAAAGAAGCAGTTCTAAGGTAACAGAACCGAGCTGTAAGGCTGACTTGTTTCCTTGCTTTGTGTCTGGAAAGCCACAAGATGGCGCACTGTGTTTGGTAAGCTGCTTTGCATCTTGTGTGAGACAAATGGAAGGACTCTGAAAGCCACCCATCCCAGGGGCTTTTGTCATGTGTCTTTGACTTCTCTATTAGAAAATTCAAATTTGGAGAACTTCTGTTTCTACATAAATGGGTTCCCTTTACTAAAGTACCCTGAATCCAGACAAAATGAAGGAAAAGGGACTGGAGTTTAATTTATCTTTCTTTTTTTTTTTTCTTTTTTTATTGAGAAAAGGAGAAAACAAAAAAACAAGTTTCCACCTCCTCCCAGCCTCCCATTTCCCTCCCCCTCCTCCCCCCCTACGCCCCCTCCTCCCACCCTTCTCCCCCTCCCCCCACTCCTTTCCCCCTCCCTCTCCAGTCCAAAGAGCAGTCAGGGTTTTCTGCCCTGTGGTAAGACCTAGGACCTCCCCCCTCCGTCCATATCTAGGAAGGTGAACATCCAAACTGGCTGGGCTCCCACAAAGCCATCACATTACGTAGGATCAAACCCCCGTGCCATTGTCCTTTGCGTCTCATCAGCCCTCATTCTTCGCCATGTTCAGAGAGTCCAGTTTTATCCCATGCTTTTTCAGTCACAGTCCAGCTGGCCTTGGTGAGCTCCCAATAGATCAGCTCCACTGTCTCAGTGGGTGGGTGCATCCCTCGTGGTCCCGACTTCTTTGCTCATGTTCTCCCTCCTTCTGCTCCTCTTATCTTTCTTTTTAAAACATTTATACACAGCTATTCTGCTCCTGGTCGTATACTCAAAGAGCTCCGTGGTCTAGTAGAGATACCTACTTATCCATGCCTATAATAGCAAATAAATGAATACAGCCTATATGTATTTAACAACAAATAGTGAAGAAAACAAAGAGCTCATGAATTTGAAAACGTGCAAGGAGGAGTATATGGGAAGGTTTGGAAAGAGGAAACGGAAGGGGGAAAACGATGTAATTGTATTATGACCTCAAAAAAATGTGGGGAAGGGACATGCAGGGCAATAGAAGGAGTAGTGGGTGAAACTGTCCAATGAATTTAATCAATATATATATATATATATATATATATATATATATATATATATGCACTGATTAAAACAAAATTCTTTAATTTTTTCTCATTAACCCTTCTTCATTATCAAGAAAACAACCTAACTATCTTTATATTTTTGAGATTTTTTTTAAGTTTTTCACTACAGCAGTTCAGCTCCCCTGACATACAATATCTCTTACGAGTTAAGGGATGTTGGAGAGTTTCACCTCTCAGACTCTGTTGATAAATTTCTTGCTGGTGGGAACATAAGCAATTTCTATCTCTTCTCTGAAGCTCCCCAAATCTCTTCAGGTCTACCCTTCTCTGAACATCCCAGGGCAAGACTCGGAAAAAGATAATTTTGGAGAACCAATGGGTGTATTGAGCTTCCTCACAGATCAGAGGTGATGGCTTCCTTGCAGGAGTACAGTCACTCTTTCCTCCGCCAACCTCACCTATAAAGCCTTACCCTGCAGGGCTTCTTCATAACTACATACACGGAGTGCATGTTCAAGTCTTCTCCAGACTCTGCATTCTAGCACCTTCCCCAGGTCACCTGAAGAGTGGCCAGATGTTATGGAAGAACTGGATATGCAGATAAGAATTCTATTTCCTACTCTCCCCCCACTCCATGCAGGCTGTAAACCGCCAACAGTGCAAGGGGGAGCAACTGACTCTCCAAGATGTTTGACCAAGAGGATCATCGCTACTGGCAATTTTCTAAGTGATGTGTATTGTATCTAAGTAAACCAAAGGGGTGGAGACAGGACTGAATATTTTCCACCACCTCTTCTTTCTTTCTTCCTTTATCTTGTCTATGTCATTGTTTTGTTGGTTTTGGAATTTAACATTTTCTACATGTGCTACTATTTCCTATATTCCCCCTTCAAACCTTATCCTCACTCGTATTATTCTCCTTTGTCTCCCTAGACAGGTTTACTTCAACACACACACATGTATAATTTTGTGTTTCTATATAAAATCTAAGAACCACAAAGGAGAGACGATATATAATGTCTTTCGGTGTCTAATTAATTTATTTAATGTACCTTTTTCCAGTGGCACCTGTTTCCCTGTAAACCACATAACTGTTTTGGGAACTGGTCTTGAACTATTCTCTCCTGCCTCAGCCTCCCAAATGCTGATATTATAGGCATACACCACAAAGCCCAGCAAAACTTTACCTGTTAATAATAAAATAATGTTTAAGGATTTTACTTTTAATTATTTGTGTTTGTGTAAAGGTAAGTACATATGAGTATAAATGCTTATAAATGTCATTAAATTCCCTAGAGATATCAACAGCTGTAAGCCAAGTGATGTAGGTACTAGGAACTAAATTTCTACTGCTAGAGTAGAAATTTCTCTTAACTCCTGGGTTATCTCTTTAACCTCTGAAATAGTATAATTTTGATTTTGACATCTACTATCTTATCTAATCTTTGCAAATATGCATGCATTACTATTTTTCTCTCTTGTAATGTTTTGCCACCTTAGTCCTACCCAAGGATATATACTAAATTGAAAAACCCCAAAAGAACAGCAATATTAGCTTTGATATTTATTTCTTTCCCCCAATTCAAGAGATACAGAAGTATTTTTCCAGATTAATAACTCTCTAGAACACAATATAAGGTGAGATAAAAGTGAAATGGCGTGGAACAAAAAGCATCCCCCAGTCCTTTCCTCATATTGCCTTTATCTCGATGCCTTCAGAAGCTGAAGCAGAATTGGTGCCTGTACCACTGATCTCGGCAGTGTCCTCACTCAGGGCTCTCTCCAGACTGGAAGGCAGGGAATGAATCAGTCTTTCTCTAAAGTCCTGGCCCACGAAAACATAGAGCATCGGGTTGAGACAGCTATTGAAGAAGGCCAATGAGCTGGTTGGGTGAACCAACATGTCAAGAATTTTATAACCACCACTAAAAAGTGACTCTTTGAGCCAGACTGTGCCTAAAAGGGCCACCAGTTGAAAGGGAAACCAACAGATAAAGAAGGAAGCCACAACTGCAGTAAGGACGCGTAAAGGACGGCTGGAATTAACAAGGGCTCTTCTGTGGATCTTGGCAGCGATGAGTCCATAGCAGATGGCAACGATGGACATGGGCATGCTGAAGCCAATAATGAACCTGATGATTCCTCTAACTGTTAGCATAGTGATAGCTGCATTCACCCGTTCCATTTCAGTGTCACCCCAGGACGCAAAGCTGAATGTACAGTACACATGCCCTCCTGGAATTCTAACCGTAGTCAAGAAGAGGAAAATGGGCAATGTGAGGATGAGGGCAAGAATCCAGGGTCCGATGATTACCTTCCTAGCCAGGCTCACAGTGCGGTGATTCTGAGCCCAGACTGGATGTAGGACACAAATACAGCGATCCAAGGCAATGAGAGCAATCAGGAAGACGCTTCCAAATAGGTTTATGTCCACCACAATGTGAACTAATTTACACATGAACCAACCAAAAGGCCATTTTTCTTTCATGGCCATTGAGGTGATAAGGAATGGTAGAGTAGCCGTGAAAGAGAAGTCAGCCAAAGCCAGGTTCAGATAACAGATAGTGGTGACCGTGTGTGCCATCCGAAATCCAGCTACCCAGATCACAAGTCCATTGCCCAGCAACCCGAGGAAAAAAGTGATGGAGAGGACCACCATTGAGAGGATCCACAGAACTCTGGATGTGATAGAATCATAGACCACCACTTCTGATCCATTCAGAGGCATGGAGTAGTTGGCTTCCATTCTGTCTGCACCTGAAAAATTTCAACAACAGCCATTTCTCAGATGTAGTTCCATCTTACATCACCCCTATTCAGAATCCACACCACCTCTCACCACAGGAGATCGATTTTACCAGTAATACTGTAAAACTAGCACTCTACTGGATGCCTTCTGAGATGGCATAGTTCTCCACATTTTCCACATTCCTAAAACTATTGATGATTTTCAAACTGACTAAAAAAGAATAATAAACTCCCATACTCTAGCAGCAACACTGAACAGAGGGGGTAAAGAGATAGCAAAACATGGGTAATAGGAGTTTAGCACTCCGAGCAAAGCAGTGGACTCAGTAGACAATACCTTGGTGAAGGCTTTCCCTCCGTTCTTGTATTCATAAAAGAAACAATTAAGGTGAGTTACCAAAAGTATAATCAAAAAGTTTTTTAACAAAGACCTGTACACTCCAGAGAGAAAAAAAAGACACAGACTGAAAGACAGACAGACACAAAGAAGAGACAGACACAGAGAAAGATAGAAACAGACAGACAGATAGACAGATAAGAGATTTTAGAGTTGGCTGAACCAAAGAATGAGTAGCAGCCCACTGGGCTCTGCATTGTGGATTTCAAAGACAATTTTTTTTCAAAGATTTATGAAACAGGAGGTATACAGATGGAAATAAGATGACCCTTTATTCAAATTTGTGGTGGTCCAGATGCTACTTTTGAGTACTGATTACTATGAAACACTTACAATTTTACAAAAAAATGGGAGGTGAAAACACAGTCCAGTGAATATCATAACAAAACTGAGGTCACATTTATACCCTTTGCTAATGTGTAAGTAAGGTAGCTGGTGATGCTTCTCATTGTCTTGGATTCTTATATAGTAGAAAGACCTTAACTGCAGTGTAAGGGATGCTTAAACATAAAAGGGCATTCCAGACACAGCTACCATTACAGAAGCAGTTTTCTTCACATCTAGCTTCTTACTTACATGGTCTTGAGTTCAAAATATGATTACACCAGGACTTGACTAATGGTGCCAAGATCTCCTCCACCTTCCAAACTCACTGCCTTCTTTCAACCTCAGATTTAGACAGTTTTCAAGTTTCTGCTTCTCTTCATTGTGAGGATCCTTGACCTAGTGTTTGCCTATTATTTCTGTTCACCTAAGGCATTGGCTTTAGCCCATTGTTGAAGTGGAGATTGAATGACTGCTACCACTGCTTGGTAATGTATTCTACCTTGTGATTCTACAAAGGGAGGAAGTTAGTGAGGAGTGGATAACATCTCTACCTTCAAACTAGTGCCCTTCATTGCTCTTTCTTGTTTTGAAGTTTCTCACTCATTGTTATATTAAGAGTGTGCATGCGTACTGGCTTTGTGGGAGCCTAGGCAGTTTGGATGCTCAACTTACTAGACCTGGATGGAGGTAGGGGTTCCTTGGACTTCCCACAGGGCAGGGAACCCTGATTGCTCTTCGGGCTGAGGAAGGGGGGGGGACTTAATTGGGGGAGGGGGAGGGAAATGGGAGGTGGTGGCGGGGAAGAGACAGAAATCTTTAATAAATAAATAAATTTAAAAAAAAGAAAAAAGAAGAAAAAAGAGTGTGCATGACTGCACAGCTTCATGTTGTGTGGGATAGAGGGTGAGTCCTAATGAGATTTGGTGGAGTTTGTGGGTCTCTCCTTAAAAACCATGTATTGTGTAATTATTATGGAATTTAGATTTATCTATATAATCTATATAAGAATTCTAAAAGGTTCATTATTTCTTATCTTTGTAAGATTAGAATGATGTTAAGAGAAAATATGATACCTGAAATCTATACAAACAATGAAAGGACAGATTTTAGCCTAGCTGTGTCTGACCCTGAGTCCTTCCTCTGTCATTTCAAATGTGACAGATATTGCTAAATGTGCTCTCCTCCAGCATCTAATCACTTGCTGTTCTCTGCTAAGCAAACCACAGTTTTCTTCATGGAAGTTATCCCTCTGTCTATTTTCAAATCTAAATCCTGATCAGTCTAGAGACTATCTCGAATCTTCACTGCTTCACAGGACACAATTCTCGATGATAACACAATGGTAGTAAGTCCTCAGAGGGCCTCTGTGATTGCATGTCTAGCCTCCTAAAAACAAGATTTCCTTTTACTGTGTTTCCTGATTTAGGGTCAGATCATGTCTATAGCCATCAACCAAGAAGTCTCAGACCCACAGCCAGGTTCAGGAAACTTGGAATATTTTCTTATGCTATGGCATGTGGGCCACAAAATCTGCCTACAAGTTATCTGTTGAAACTTATTTATTGGCCTGTGGATGTTGTATCAATAATGGAGAGCTGGTCTAGATCCTCTTGTGAGGGGATGGGAGCATAGCTTAATGGTAAAGCCTTTACTCGCCTAAAATTTCCCCAGTGAGGAGCTCAGGACGCAGTTCACTGGTAGGGGGAAATTTGTAGTGTACAAGAAACCTTAGATTCAATCCCCAGCAGTATAATTAAATAAAAATGTAGGAAGAAACATCTCACTTATTTCTAAATCCTGCCTTAATATGTAGTTGCACAAAACCTAGGGTAATTTTGTACAACCATAAAATTGTAGACTTATCCATCTATCTTTAAAAAGAAACAATAATATTGAGCTCTTCTTTGGTTGATTGGTTGGTTACTTGGATACATGGTTGGTTAAGATAGGGTCTGGCTATGTAGCCAAGCTAACTGACCTCATATTCCTAACCCTTCGGCTTCAACTTCCAGCATGCTAAAATTGCAGATGTGTGCTGCAACAGTTTTATGCAGACATTTCCTTCCAACTCAAACATTTCCATCAGGAGGCAGAAGGCAGCTTCCTGGGTTTCAGAAAGTAAAGAAATTTCACACTTCTTGGAGAGTTGAAACTTAAAGAATTGCTTCTCTCCGTGGTCATGAGAACAGGAAACATCTATTGGGATAGACTTTGACCAGCATTGATACCTGACCTGTCAAGTTGTCTGTAAGTCATGCAGAATGTTGCAGGAATACAACTTCATGAGTCTTCCTTCACCCTTGTTTGAGCTGGGCTTTTTGGTCACAGAACACTACATCTGAGTCATCCCTTCTCCTGTAACTCCTTACCCATACTCTTGTTAGTAAACCCAATAAAAATTGTTGATTCACCAAATTGCACTTTGAGGTAACCATTACTTTGGTCTGCCATGGGTCCACCATAATGGTAGGCATGTGTCTTGTTTCCTTGGGAAAACTTCCACAACACAGAGCCAGAAGTTTCTCACCTCTAATTCTCATAATAATATCGAGAGACAGCAACATCCCTCTTTCATCAGGTCAAAGTCATATCAAAAGATTTTGGTATGTTTTTTTTTTCCTGTCTTTGTTTGTGTTAACAGCAATAAGCATTAGAACCACAATTAATTCCAGAGCTCCCAAATTTGCCTTAGTGGTGAGCTTAATTTGACAGGACCTGCCACAAGAGCTGACAAGCCTCACATGTGATATGATAGTGATTTCCCCTCCTTGGTTTCGTATTACACTTCCTTATTTTCATTTCTTCGCTTGTCACTCTCCCTAAAGTCCTATGCAGGACATTGTGTAACGGGATTCAGGATTTCTCAACCCTGGTACTGTGGACAATCATCTGCCACTACTTAATTGTGGTTGGGTGTGGTGGAATCCTGTACATCAAAGGATGTGTAGCAGCTCTTTGACCTCGTCTACTGGATTTCAGTAGCAAACCTCACCCAGCTATAATAATCAAAAGTATCTATAGATGTCAAACATCCTCTGGCAGACAAAACCACCCACAATGGAAAACACTGGTACAATATAAATTTTCCTGGACTCTACAATCAGATAACTATATTTTATTTATTTCTTTTATATTTTCTATGTGCAATCCACATAGGTGCACCTATGTACATCCATATGCCTGTTTCTGGAAATATCTGTTGTCTCCATCAATTGATCCTCCACCTTATTTTCTGAGATATGGTCTTGCACTGAACCCGGGGTTTACTGATTGGGTGGCTTGTTAGCTGGTGAACTCCAAATCTCCTGCTATCTCTGCCTCCCTAGAACTTGGGTTACAGATGGGTGATGTTGTGCCTGGCTTTTGTGTTGTTTTTGTTTATGTAAGTACTTGGGATCCAAGTTCGGATCCTCATGTTGTTGTGAGCATTTTACCCACTAAGCAATCTCCTTAGTCCTAATGAGTCTGTTTGCTAATCATATCTCTGTTGCTGTTAATGTCATTTCTTTGAGCCTTAGTTTCTTCATCTGCTGATCAGGAATGGCTTTATAGTGGAGAATAATTTTTCCAAGTGAGGATAGAATGAGAATAAAGACAGAAATTTTCCATGTTGGACCAAGTGAGTCTTTTAAATGTTAATTTAACCCTGTCTTCACCATACTATATACTTCTCTATACTGTGTTTTAGGAGTCATTTGTTGACTATGCATTATAGAAGTTCCCATTCAGAGACAAACATGTTTCTGTTGCTAGGATGTGACTCAGCTGGGAAAATACCTGACTAGCAGGTTCTTGTTTCTGGGATTGATCTCCAGCACTGCACAAAACTGAGTATGGTGGTATACATCTTTAATACCAACAACCTAGAGGTGTAGGCATGAGGATCAGGAATTTAGTGTCATCCTTGACTGTATTTTGAGTTCAAGAGATAGCTACACAGAGAAGAGCATGGCTGTGACAATACTAACTAGTTCTTTGGACACTGTCTACATTGGAACAAGTTCATTAAGACTTTACAACTTACTGTGTGGTGGTGGTGTATGCCTTTAATCCCAGAACTCGGTAGGCAGAGGCAAGTGGATGTCAAATTCAAGGACTGCCTGGTCTACAGAGCAAGTTCCAGGACAAGCTCCAAAGCTACACAGAGAAACCCTGTCTCAATAAACAAACAAACAAACAAAAAAAGACTTTAGAACTCATCTTAGCTCTTGCAGATTACAGAAGGAAATGATGTAAAGCATGTGTACTCTGAGACACTGTGTGTACTGAATATGATTTATAATGAGAATAACTATTGAACAGTTAGATGAGTTAAGATTTAGACCAGTAACATTCATTATTTAACCTTCTAGTTAGAAAGAGATAGGGCCATCTTTTGAGCCCAGCCCTGCTTTTAACCACATTCTACACTATGTTCTCACTGTACCAGTTCCCTGCCGCTTTGTAAGTTTCCTACAAGCCACTTACAATATATGATGCACTCCATAATCTTCAAATCATTGATATAAGAAATGTTACACAACAAGGAAGGACCAATGGAAAGACGGAGGTGCAAAAGATCATCTCCTTATAACAGCCTTATCTTAGGATACACATCACCATTCTTTAACAGATGAAACCATGGCTCTGAACAAGAAGGGACTTTGAAGAAACAGCACTTTTTGCCAATTCTTTCTATTATTTATCATGCTCATTTCCTGTCTATGAAGTGAATACTCAGGACAGGGGAGATGGCTCACTAAAAAGTATTTGCCATATAATAAGAACCTCAGTTTCGATCTCCAGCATCCACATAAAAAGCAGATATGGTGGCATATCTATGACTCCATCAGTGGGAAAGGGTGGAGAGAGGAGGATCTGTGGAGCTTCCTGGCCAGACTACCTAGTCCATTATTAAGTTACAGCCTCAAGGAGAGTCTTTACCTCAAAAAAGTAAGAAAGATAAAGAGTAACTGAGTCTGCTGTCTAATGTTGATCACTGACCTCCCCACATGTACACTAATGCACATACATGAACACAGATAGAAACCCATACAAACTAAACTGATTATTCTGTCCCTTTGATTTCTCCTCAAGCTAAATCATCTCCTCTGCCATTTCAAAGCCACATTCTCTTTTTTTAAATGATACCAATTAACCAAGGAGTTCTCACTGTACCATCAGCTATCTTTCCAAGCTACTACATATACAAGTTCCTGAGGGGAAAGAGTTGTCATTCACTTCAAATGGCCTCTTCACACACACACACACACACACACACACACACACACACACACACATTGGCTCGGGATCTGTCTTGCACCCATAAATTGCACTCTTAGACTCCTGAGTTTTTTTCTTCTCTTTTCTTCCTAACCAAGACAAGACACAAGGATATACTTTCCAGCAGATCATTCTCATTGACACATGAATGTTGTCATGTCACTTCCCTTCAAGAATAAATCATTCCTAGGCAATCCTTATCTTTCACACCACTAATCCCAACTGTTTGGGGAGGCTGAGATAAGAATTGTCTATTTGGGCTGGAGAGTTAGTTCAGGAGATGGAGAGAGGTTAAGAGCACTATCTATTCTTTCAGAAGTTCTGAGTTCAATTCCCAGCAACAACAAGGTAGCTCTCAACCATCTATAATGAGATCTAGTGCCCTCTTCTGGCATGCAGGCATACATACAGACAGAACACGATATACATAATAAATAAATAAATCTTTTTGTAAAAATTGCCTATTCAAGGCCTGCCTCAGCTATAGGACAAGTTCCAGTTCAGCAATTTACTGGAATTATGGCCCACAATAAAAAGTAAAAAGAAGGGGGCTGGGGTGGTCACTCAACAATTAAAAGCATTGCCTGCTCCTTCAGTGGATCTGAGTTCAGTTCCCAAAATTATCATGTATACTTAAACCATCTATAACTTCAATTCCAGGAGATTCAGTGGTCTCTTCTGGCCTTCTGGTGTACCAAGAAAGTGAATGACACATGGACACACATTCATGGAAAATACCCATATACACTTTTAAAAACTTTGGAAAAGGAAACACAATGCTAAGGTTGTAGCTAGAATCTGCCTAGAACTGCCCCAGTAGTGATGGACTTGGCAGTGTCACTTAGTGGTGGAGCACTTGTGTAGTATCCCCAGTAAGGTTCAGGATTCATCAGTACAGCATTTGGTTAGCATATGAGAGGCATTTCATTCAGTTAAGAGTGGAGGAGAGAAGGAGAAAGGAGAAAGAAAAAAAAAGATAAGCTCTGTTTCATTGAAGAGATTTCTTCCCCTGAAAAGGATTTATAGCTCAACTTTAAAACCTATAAATATTTTTTATATGTCCTTACCTCCCCACTTGTAATTAACTCACTGCATATTGATCCGTGTCCCTGTCACTGCACCAAACTGGCCTCATCAAGGATGTGGACTCCAGTTTGCCAAATCCAATGAATCATTTTCAGTTCTTATGCTAATATCTCCCAAAGCACAGTATCACTTAGATACCTTTTTCCTTCCTAAGTAATATTTTTCTTGTGCTTTAAGATAACAAATGATGCACAGAGCATATTCTTAGTTGCCTTTATATCTCAGTGGCTGAATATATAACCGCCCAAAAAAATCAGACTGCCTCAACTTGACGTTTTAAAAATGAGTTCAGCTCAGGTCTGCATGCTTATAAGGCACATACGTACATACAAAGCCTTCTCCCTATAACTACAATCGTATTCTATCCTCAGCATATTCTAAACCATGAACTCTGAAGTCACCTATTGAAAGTAAATGTTATACTGAACATCTCTGCACAGGATTTTAGAAAGTGTCCATTATATAATAGACATTCAAAAAGTAAGTTTTTCAGTTGTTGGAGTATGACTTACCACCAGCTGAAGTCCTCTTGCTATGGCTAACTCCTGGGTTCCTATGGTGTAACTGAAGCAACTGTCAGGAGCATTACTACAAGAAATTGAAGGTCATAACACAATTACAGCTGATTCTGAAAACCGTGGCTTTCTTATGCAATTTGTCTTCTCTTTCATTTCTTTAAGGGAGTTTTTCACTTCCTGTTTTGAGGTCTCCATCATTTTCATAAGGTTACATTTAAAGTTGATTCCTTCTACCTCTTCTGGGTTAGGATGTTCAAGTCTTCCTGTTGCATGTTTGCTGGATTCTGGTGTTCCCAATGTTGCTTTTCAGGATGTTGAAGGAATTCTTGCAGTAGTGCCTGCCCATCTCTTCCTTCAGATGAGGCCAGCAAAGTCTTGGTGTCTTGGTCCAATCTTTGCTGTGGCTGACTATATACTTTGGAGTTTTCTTGGTCTGCCCTCTCTTAGGTCCCTTCAGCACTGGAGCAGGTTCTCAGATCCCCTCCACCCTGAAGCAGGCTGTGTTGGAGGATCCAAGGACCTAGCAGATAAAAAGGCAGGCATGGGGGCAGGATGGAATGGGGTAAAGAAGGCCAGCAGCAGGGAACTCACCCCACTAAATGGCCAGAAATGCTTAGGGAATTGGAGGGGGCCTGGATTCAGTCCACTTACTCACCTCTCCGGATTCCCTCAGCATGGTAGGTTTCTAAGGACCTCGCAGACAAAAAGGCAGGCTTGCGGAGCAGGGTTGGATGGTAGAAAGAAGGCCCAGAAGCAGAAACTCTCCCTGCAGGCTGTGTAGGGGGATCCAAGGACCTCGCAGATGAAAAGGTGGGCTTGGGGGCAAGGTGGAATCAGCTATATAGTTTTGATAAATAGAATATATACTGGGACATACTTCATAACTAGATCAGTTGTCCAACAAGGACTACAGACACCTAAAAGCCTGACTTGCTAACTATACACTATCAGTTCATTTTCATCTCAGAACAAGCTCAACTCAACTAAAGGAAAACTTTACAGCTTACACAAGGTCAGAGTCACAGGTGACCCAACCATGGTTACTTAGCAAAAGCATTCCAGTTCTTCACTTGCCAGCCTACTAACAATGCATCTGCCTCTCAAAGTTGTCATTGGGCGCTGTGCCCCTACCCTGTCTGATCAAAGTTTTACTCCTATGGACTTAGACATTTGTGTTGCCATGTTAAGTGGCTCAGCTCCTTATCGCTTCAAGGCTCTTGTAGGAGAGGAGGTTTTTAGGATTAGAGAAAAGGCTAAAAGAAGAAGCATGGAGAAATTAGAGGTAGGACAGGATCATTAGAGTAGAAACAGAACAATAAAGAGCATGTGAAATAAAGGGCATGCCCCTCAGATTGTGTGTGAAGTTACTATAGAAATCATCTACCCCCTCCTTCACGCCTGAGAAGCACTTCACCTTTGAGGCCCTAGGAGCTGGAGCTGGTGTCTTAGCCCTTACATTTGGTTCTCGTAAGAGACTTAAGAAAACACAAAGAGGAACAAGAAAGCTGGAACCAGTCTGGTGGCAGAAATCCAAGGTTTCTTAAGATTTTCAGAAACTATGCAAATGTGATGACATATGAGTCACTTTATTTCATCCTATTGTATGTGTGCGGAGGTTTTGCCTGTATGTATGTTTGTGCACCCAACTCACACATTCCTGGAGTCCTCAGAGGCCAGAGAGAGCATAGGATTCCTTGGAACAGGAGTTAAAGGCAGTTGCTGGGAAATGAATCCGAGTCTCTGGAAGAGATGCCAGTGCTCTAACTGCTAAGCCCTCTCTCTAGCCAAAGTGAAGTTATTGGAAATACAGAAGTGTAAATATCCTCCCACCAATGATCTGTGAAACACATGAGAGGTTAATCCTGTCAATCTCAGAGTTCTGGTTCTTTACATCCCCTGAACTGAAATTACAGACACTTGTGAACAGCCTGATGTGAGCTTTGGTCCTCACCAAAGTCAGGTCCTCTACAGGGGCTGTACTTGTTCTTAACTACTGAAACATCCCTCCAGACCCCTCATTCTTTAAGAAAAGGGGGGAGGGTCAACAGATGGCTCTGAGACTCAGAACACTGAATGTTCTTAAAGAGGACCCAAGTTGGATTGCTGTCGTCCCCATCTGACTCACACCATCTGTCACTCCAGTTCCATGGGATTCAAGGTCTTCTGGTTTCTGCAGGGACCAGACACAAACACGATGCACGGTCATACAAGCAGGCAAAAAAAAACTCATATATTTAAACATAAATAAATAAATCTGCTTTTAAAGCAAAAAGGAGAGTAGCTGAATAGATGTCTCAGTGGCTAAGAGCACTCTGTTCTTCCAGGGGACCCAGTTTCATTTGTGCCCACATCAAACAACTCACAACTGCATATATCTCCAGATCTAGGGAGACCAGATATCTCCTCTTGTCTCTTTGGGTGCAGGCATTACATATATGAAGACTGAGATGACGCAGTTTTGCCCCACTGCCTATTAAAACATCATGTGTATGGGTTTCTTTCCACACCCAAAAATTACTCAGTTTTCTGTGGACACTAACTGGGGGGACCCACCAATTCAGTTTTTTTCCTGACTCAAAAGTATCAAGAAAGGGCATAGACACTACCTTTGCTGTAATTATAAATCTGCTGGCCTGTCTTGTCACCTGGGTACCCTGTCCCATTAAGAGACAAACTCTGCCCACCCCCAATTGCCCCTCTTCCCTCCAGCTAAGGCAAGCTAATCTCAGGCCTCCTCTCCATCTCTCTCTCTCTCTCTCTATCTCTCTCTCTCTCTCTCTCTCTCTCCATTCTTCTTCTGAAGAGCAGCTTCTGCATCTCCCTTCCCCCTTCTTTCCTCTCCCTCCCTTTCTCCCTTTCTGTCATTCTTCCATAACCCCCTTACCCTTATACCCTTCCCAATATCCACTAAATAAACTCTATACAAGCTCTCTCCACATGGCTGTCTGTATCCCACCTACTGCACCCCTCCCTGCAAGAGCAGAGGTACCTCCCAGGGTCACGCCTCCACAAATCACCACAACCATAGTGAGGAAAATGTCAAAAACAGTGTCTTGGTCATGTTCTTTCTATATGTACCACTACATCTCTGCCTCTGTCTCTATCTCTCTCCATGTCCCCACCCGCCTCTCTTATGCCTATATTTTGAAAACAGGTTCTCATATATCACAAGATATCTTTAAACACACCAAGTATACATCTAAACTCCATATCCTCCTTTCTCCACCTCCCGAGTACTGGAATTACAGGCATGCACTATCACACCCAGTTTATACGGGACTTCTGGCAGGCTAGGTAATCACCCTGCTAACTGGTCTACACCTCCATTCTGTGGCCATCTTCCTTAATACACTGTAGGAACTGAGTAGATTTGAGGTCACCTTAAAGGTAGGAATCCCTGGGGGCTGGAGAGATGGCTCAGAGGTTAAGAGCACTGGCTGCTCTTCCAGAGGTCCTGAGTTCAATTCCCAGCAACCACATGGTGGCTCACAACCATCTGTAATGAGATTTAACAATGTTAATGTTAACATTGTTAACATTTTCATTAACATTAACATTAACAATGTAATGAGATTTAACAATTAACATTCAGATAATACTGAAATTAACATTCCTGCTAAATCTAGAGCCTATATTTCTGAGAATAATATTAAAAGATATTACAAACGGAGAAAACCGGCCATTCGAGCTGTACAAGAACAAGCAATTGATGTCCCTTCAGAGATACCAACAGCCTTGCCTCTAAAATGGTTGACTGAGAAACCAATATGGACAAAGCAATGGCCTTTAGCTGAGGAAAAGTTACAGGCTTTAGAACAGCTGGTACAAGAACAATTAGATGCTGGACATATAGAAGAATCTAACAGCCCTTGGAATTCTCCTGTATTTGTGGTTAAGAAAAAATCAGGTAAATGGAGAATGGTGACAGATCTCAGGGCCATCAACAAGGTTATTCAACCTATGGGCCCTCTGCAATCTGGAATTCCTTTGCCCTCTTTATTACCAAAAGGATGGCCTCTCATAGTTATTGATTTAAAGGATTGTTTTTTCACTATACCTTTGCAAAAAGAAGATAGAGAAAAATTTGCCTTTACAGTGCCTACTTATAACAATTCTCAACCTTCGAGGAGGTTCCACTGGACCGTTCTCCCCCAGGGTATGTTAAATAGCCCCTCCCTGTGCCAATATTTTGTGAACCAACCATTGCAAATAATACGCAAGAAATTTCCCAGATCTATAGTATACCATTACATGGACGACATCTTGTTATCCGATTCAAACATGGATACCTTGAACAGACTGTTTGAAGAAATAAAGATACTTTTACCTAAATGGGGATTGCAAATCGCTCCTGAAAAGATTCAGAAGGGAGATTCTGTTAATTATTTAGGTTATAAAATAGGTTTGCAAAAAATTAAGACACAAAAAGCACAAATTAGGAGAGATCGCCTACGGACTCTTAATGACTTTCAAAGACTGTTAGGAGACATTTCCAGTCTACGACCAGCTATTGGAATAACACCTGATCTAATAATTCATTTGAACAAAACCTTGGATGGTGATAAGGATTTAAACAGTCCCAGAGAATTAACAGCTGAAGCAGAAAAGGAACTGACAATGATTGAGGAAAAATTACAACAGGCACATGTGGACAGGGTGAATCCAGAGCTCGATTGTATTCTCGTCATACTACCATCAAAAATTTCTCCTACAGGAATTTTAATGCAGAGAGATGATATTATTTTGGAATGGATCTTTTTACCACATAAACCAAGTAAGAAACTGAAAACTTATGTGGAAAAAGTCTCTGAGTTAATTATAAAAGGCAAGCTGAGACTTCGTCAACTAACAGGCATAGACCCAGCAGAAATTATAGTGCCTTTCACTGCTGATGAACTAAAGAAATTATGGGAAGATAATGAACCATGGCAAAGAGCTTGTGCTAATTTTTTGGGAGACATTAATAACAACTATCCAAAAAGCAAGCGGCTTAACTTCATAAAGAGAACTTCTTGGATTCTTCCTCGAATCGTCCGTGATGCTCCAATAACTGGAGCCCGTACATTCTATACTGATGCCAATAAATCAGGGAAGGCAGGTTACAAATCAGAAGACTTGGATAAGGTGGAACAAAGTCCGTATACTTCTGTCCAGAAGGCGGAATTATATGCCATTCTTATGGTGCTAAGGGATTTTAAAGAACCTATTAATATAGTTACAGATTCACAATACGCAGAAAGAGTTATTTTACATATTGAAACTGCTGAATTTATACCTGATGATACTGAACTAACCTCATTGTTCCTCCAGGTTCAAGATTTGATCAGGAACAGGCTTTGCCCTATGTACATAACACACATCCGATCCCATACGGGTCTGCCAGGTCCTCTAGCACAAGGTAATGCAGAAATTGATCAATTATTGATTGGTAGTGTGCTACAAGCCTCTGAATTTCATAAAAAACATCATGTTAATAGCAAAGGTTTGAAGAAAGAGTTTTCAATTACATGGCAACAAGCTAAGGAGATTGTAAAGAAATGCCCTACTTGCTCTTTCTATAACCAAACGCCACTGCCTGCAGGGGCTAATCCAAAGGGCACCCAAAGGAATGAAATCTGGCAGATGGATGTGTTCCACTTTGCAGAATTTGGCAAATTAAAATATGTACACCACACCATAGACACGTATTCAGGTTTTCAATGGGCTACTGCCCTGAGCTCAGAAAAGGCTGATTCAGTAATCACACATTTATTGGAAGTTATGGCCATCATGGGTATACCTGCGCAAATAAA